AGACAAAAAAGATGATATGAAATGTTCAACTGACATTTAGGTATAGACCAACACCCAGTCTTTGCCACCCAAATCTGTCCTCTTCCCATTTAATTTGTTCTGTAAATGGATATAATTCAAACCGGTTCGCCCATTTTGATTTTAGCCACTGATTTTGCTAAAAATCCATTAAGTTTAATCATTTTGATTTTAGCTATTGATTTGCTTATAATTTATTTATTTTTTATTTAAACAATTTAAAAGTGTGTGTAATCTATTAAAATAATATTCGTACATGATAGATATTTTCACTTTTTTTTTTTTTTTTNNTTTTCTGTTTTTTTTTTTCTTATTTTGAAATCGATAAATAAATATTTTTTTTATAATAAATAATATTTTTATATTTATATTAACATTTTTTTTTTATATAAAAAAAATCTAGTTAACATCCCCTTGATATGACATCCAAAATTTGCTCGGGCTCATCGGTGTTCAATGATTAAACTATCATGAAGGTTTGACTGAAATTTAGAATATTCCGACGTATATATTAATATATAAATATAATAATATTTACTTGAAATAGCAATTAAAAAAAATAAAAAAAAGTATTTGATTTTCCGCCTAAAATATTTACTATATTGAATAATATTTTTTGCCAAAATTGAAAAATCTCGCCTAAATTAATCTAATTAATGTACAGAATCCTTGTGGTTATATATTGTGGTATTACTTTTATTAGTTGCATGATTTTAACTTTGAATGTAATATATTAACAAAACTTACAACTATTACCTTTATTAGTTGCATGGTTTAATTTGGTATATAATATATTGAAAAAAATAATAAATTTTTTATTTAAAATTAGAAATAAAAAAGTAATTATTCATAATTTGCGCGTCAATATTAACTTGGCGTCAATATTCACTTGGACGTAAATGAAATAGTCAATTATTTATAATTTAATAAATTCCTCAATAACTTATGGGTCAATATTAATTGGACGTAAACAAAATATTTAATTATTTATAGTTTAATATATTACTCAACTACTTAATTTTTTTTATTTGAATAGTTTATACAAAAATAGATTATTTTAAGTAATGAAACGATATAAATTTTGTATTTATGCTTATTATTCACATAGGTTGTTAAATATATAATAACATTTTACCAAAATAACCATTTTATGAAATCACATTATAGTCAAATTGAATTTCTGAATAAAAAATTTGACAATACTTATTTTTCCTAATATAATGTGATTTATTATCAGTTATGTGCACCACACAGGTTGTGTACTAATTTTAAATAGACATTTTTATGTAATTTTGTACAATTTAAACTTTATATAACATCCCCTATATATTAATTCAGAACGCGCTGAGCATATGTGGCTGCTTCTGGTGCTTCGAAATTCTATGTGGCAAAATTACATGCTTCGTTATTAGGCTTGGGTAAATTTTAATTTAATTCCAAACAAAAAATAATTAGGTTGGGATTACCATAAATATGTTGATTATTTATGGTCATGTTAAATGTATTAATTGCATTTTAATATCATTCCTTATCATAATTATTGAATTGTATATATATTTTAAAAGTTAATAACTTTTGTATTTTTTATCAGTTTACATATGTAATATATCAAATTAATCTTTTTTTGATGAGCTTCGATTTAACATTCATATTGTATGTATAAAAAAATAATTTATATTTATCTTTATAACAATAATAAAATTATTTTTAATATTAATTAGAAAAATAAAATTATTTATTAACTAATATATTTATATTTCAAGTAGTTATATGATATAAGTTATAAAAACTAATATAATATAACACATGTAAGTTATAAGTAACACATATCATTCTAAAATATATAATAATATATTTTTTTGGTAAAAAAGTAAACTAAATTTAATATAATTTTCTCATTAATTTTAAAATTTAAATATAATTTTTTAACAAGCACCCGTGTAATACACGGGTGTTGTACTAGTTTTCAATAAATTAGAATAAGTAATTGTATTACATATTGATTCCATATTTTTAATTTATAAATATTACTTAATGAATTTTTTTAATTTATAAATATTAGTGCACTGCACGGGACTCATACTAATTTGATATTATTTAAACATATTTTATTCCGAAATTCTAAATGAGTATATTATATGGAAGCAGTAATGCTTACCTACCCACGGTGGGCACATGTTAATATGTCCCCTGCTTATATGACATTCACTGGTATGAATAGATTTTTCATCTATCGAGATTTGAAGGTTCAGCGTAGCCTGATGTATTTGTTTCAACATATTAACATGCATCATCAATGTGTGCATGTCATATAAGCGGTGGACATATTAACATGTGCCGACCGTGTGTAAGGGAACATTATCCTAATTGAAAATCCAAGATTAAAAATCACTTTCTATTACAATATCTCGTAATCACAATCCAACCTATATAGCTATAATTTAAATTGCAATTAATACAATATATATATCCACATATATACCACGTATTTATTATCTCATTTTTGAACAACACACATTTACTTAAATCATAGAACAATGTTTTGATTGGTACCAACCAGTCAAAACATCCCCTCTCTTCCAATGATAAACCCTTTATTCAGTTCCCCTATTGTAAATCACCATATTATTTTTCTTTCTTTTCCAATTTTCATTTAATATTCATCAGCCTTTTGTCTATCCAGACAAAATTTGTTGATTAATTTTTTATTTTCTTTTTTACCTTTATTTCAGAAAAAAACACATACATGCATATATATATATATATACATATATATATATATATATATACTTAGATATACTGCAAATTTTGTTACACATATGTTATAATTGAAAAAAAAAAAAATTTGGAATTTAAATTCAATATTTTGTGTATTTTTTATGAAGTAAGATGGCTGAGCCGGCCAGGAATCGGCTGCAAAGCACGTTACAGGCGGTGGTTCAATCGATCCGGTGGACGTATAGCCTTTTCTGGAAAATTTGCCCCCAACAAGGGTAAATTAATTAGATCATATATATATATCAAATGTATTTGTGTGTGTAGTTTGAAATTTCAAGAATCATACTTATATAAATTGCACAATATTAACTCTATTCAACCTTATAGTTGATTAATAAGATAGTATTTGTAGTATATTTGGTGTTTGAAAATTATATATATATATATATATCTATATGTATATTAAATTTTCATTTTACGATTCTCTTCATGCTTTAACATGATGAGGGACATGCACATACTTTATTATTATTATTATTATTATTATTATTATTATTATTATTATTATTATTATTATTATTATTATTATTATTATTTTTCAATTTAGGAATCACTATAACTAATTACAAGAACTTCTTCTTTTGTCTAAATTTTAACCCATATACTTTATTAATTTTTTATTTTTTTTTTCACAATTTTGTTGAAGGATTCTAGTATGGGATGAAGGTTACTACAATGGAGCTATAAAGACTAGAAAAACCGTTCAACCGATAGAAGTCTCGACCGAAGAGGCCACTCTCCATAGGAGCCAACAACTAAGAGAATTATACGAATCACTCTCCTCCGGCGAGTCCAACCACCACACACGGCGACCTTCGGCGGCACTTTCTCCGGAGGACTTGACGGAATCCGAATGGTTCTACCTAATGTGTGTTTCCTTCTCATTTGCTCTTGGAGTTGGGTAAGCATTGTTTAGAAGTTATATTTTAATTAATCATATATTCTTGTATATGGAAAATGAGACGATCTAACTGATAGATTACGACCCGTTTAACTTTTTATAACAACAAAATTGCGTAACTATTTCATAAAATTTAATACTTTAAAGTGTGTGAAAGTTCAAATTCAATTATCTGTTCAGAAGAATATGATTGTCTAGTTGTTAGGTCTACCTAACAACAGTCTTATTGAGTCGATTTTGAATTATTTGTTGTTATAATTTAATTTGTATGTATATATAATTTTAGTTTATTTGGCTGGAAATATTTTGTGGGCATTTTGATTAAGCTTTACATGGAGTGGACGACTTTGACAGGAGTAAAATTAGGTATACTATATATATTTGAGGATAACAAGGCATTAACTAGGGTTTGTGTTATAAATCCAACATGAACTAAATTTAGATGATGAAATTGAAAGATGAGGGTGTTTTAAATGGGGTAGGGGTTAGTTGACTGAACAGTGGCCATCATATATAATATTTTTATATAATGAATTATTAGTTATAAAATATAATTAATAGTTATATATATATTATAATACGTAAGATATATATATTTTTTTCAATATTAAAAATAAGAGTAGGTATAAAGAGTAATTAATTTGGGGGTATAAGAGGAAAAAAAATGGAGTTTTAGTCGTAATTTTATTTTCATACATATTTTAGATTTGATCCTTTAAAGACCATTTAAAAAAAATCATTTATCTTAAGAAAATATTAGCACAATATTCGTGATTATACGTGTGCTAGTTAAAAAGTTTATGATGGAATTCTTAAGAAAATGTAAGAGAGTTTTTTTTTTTTTGTTAATTTTATATTGAATACTTTTTAAAACAGTTGCATTATAATTTATACTTCAAATGAAACTTTTCACTTGTATGATTTGTCCCTATTATATTATAGTTTTCTTTTTGATTCATATGAATGAATCTATATATAACCTTTTTAAAATTGATATATAATTTTATTTTTTATTAATTAGTATTAATAGATTATCATTTAATCTATAATAAAATAAAACAAAAAATATTTATTTATTTTATATATGCAATATGTGTGGCAAATTGAAGTCGTTAAAATATGACTATTTAGATTTATAATAAATGAAAAACTGATAACAAACATCAAAATTAGTAACTTATATATATATTTATAGTTTAAGCTAGTCAATTAATTTATAATTTTAAGAGTTTTAATAGGTATGAATATAATTTTTATCTACATGAACTACTTCGAAGCACTACAAATAGACCTGGTCTGACCTAAGATTTTTCTTTTCTTTTCTTTTCTTTTCTTTTCTTTTGTCATCATCACAACCTGCTGTGGTTGATTAGATAGTTGAAAAAAAAACATAAGTTTTAGTGGATTAAATGTCAAATAAGTGACAATTATGTGACTAAAACTATAAAATTTTCATAAATAAGATACCAAAAAAGGAATATAATTAAATAAGATCTGCATACATACATGCAAAGACAATTGTTGCTTTAAACTAGAGAGCTTTTATAGGTAATTTGTTGTTGTTAATTTACTAGTTATCTTATATAATTTGTTATACATAAGTAGCTAGTGTATATTCTCCTAATATATTGGCATCATTGATTTTTGTCATTATAATTGCTAATATGAAGATAACTAATTATAATTATTAAAATTGTTATGATTTTGATGTTAGAATATAAAATAAAATAAAATAAATTGCTATATACAAAACCTTATAACCAATAATTTTTGATGATCTCCATGTAAAGTTTACCTGGAAAAGCTTATGTAAAGAGGCAATATATGTGGCTTACAAGAGCCAATGAGGTAGACAGCAAAATCTTCTCTAGAGCCATTCTTGCTAAGGTACTATTCATTCATTCACGTTATATATATATATTTTGACTAACGATTATTTACTATTTGCGTGTCGTATCAATTTTAATCATTATATTTTATCTCATATTTATTCAGAGACTCAAAAATAATTTATTCTTCCTCCAATACGCACTTTTTTTTTTTTTCGGGTCCGAACAATTTTCTCGAATTTTATACTGATATAATCTGATTAATTTCTTTTTCATTTCCAATCACATGTTGGTGTTGAAAGAGTGCTGGAATACAGGTAATTGTTATTGTTAACCTTATTAATTTATGTTATTTATTAATCTGTCAATTTGATTATATTCTTGAAATTAAATTGAAAATAGTCAAATAGTCAAACAAACAAACATTTTTGTACTCTTCAGACAGTTGTTTGCATTCCTCTGCTAGATGGAGTCCTTGAACTTGGAACAACTGAAAAGGTATATACCAATTAATTATGTTTATTTTCTACAAATTGTACCTTCTTAGATGGCCTAAATACAAATTTTAAAAAAATACTTAAAATATATCTATTTATTATAAAATATATCTATTATTATGTTACAAATTATATAGGATAAAAATCATATAGGATAAAATCATAAAATATATCTGACTAATCACAAATTATTTATCTTATTACTTTTGAGAATTTAGAAAATATTCACAAACTAATTAAAATATAGAACAAAAATGAACAAAAAAATATAAATTAAATTTCTCCACTATTAAATTGGAAAAAAAAAAATTGCAAAAATACCGACTCACTAATTACATGTTTAAGTAAAATGTTCAAAGAGTGTTAAATAGTTAATTTGCCTAAAATCATTAGCCTGACATACTCTTTTCATAAATAAACATAAATGTATTATAATTTCATATTTTAATAAACAATATAAATAAAATTATGTTATTAGATAATACGAATATGTATTTTCGTTCAGAGTATGAAAGATCGGCCCACCTAATAGTTAAACTGTCTCATTCAAGAATTTTTAACGGTCTGTTGATTGATTTAATTATTCAAATTAAATTAAAACATTTTTCCTACTTAAAACACACAAATTAGAATAATTTGTGAAACTTTTGAATTCTTGTTTCAGGTTCAAGAGAATATTAGCCTAATCCGACGTGTAAAATCCTTCTTCTCACACGAGGGCCCAAACCCTAACAACTACCAGCCAAGGCCCGTTCCCTCGGAGCACTCCACATCCGGCCCACCAGTCCATTCGGAAGCCCATTTCAACTCTCCTGTATTACCTCAGGAACCCCTGCTCCTTCCATTAGCTGACAGCCACGTGGCAAATGGATTGGACGGCGAAGAAGAAGGCGTCGGGTCGGTTTCGGATCCGAACCACCCCAACTCCACAGCCCAGCCCATGCAGCTTCATGCGTGTGCGGATATTATCCAGTTTATTAGGTCCACAGATAATGGGCCGGATCCTTTGGGCCCAAATTTCAATCTCCTGGCCATGGGCCGAGGCGGTAGCTCGCCAGAGAACCACGATCTCGAGGGCTTTGCGGAGGCTGGGTATCCCATGAATAGTAGTGACCTTCAACCACCACACTATTCAGGTAATTAATTAATGATCAATAATAACTACTTCACTAGATCTTAGTTATAGTTGCATCATCACATATTAATAAAAGGGAGATGCTACGGTCCCGTTACGGAACTATTTCGTCGGTATTTGTAATCGTTAGATCAACTATCCCCGACGATTACATGATGATCTAATGGTTACAAACCTCGATGGAATGGTTCCGTAACGTGACCGTAGCATTTCACATTAATTAAATATACATTCTTCTTAGTAAATTAATTAATAATGGTAAAATTTTAAAATATGCATAATAACTTGGACAAGATGATAGTTTCGCTCAACAACTTTGTACCAAAAAAAATGCCAACTAACTAATTAAATTGTGAACATTCTACTAAAAAAACATGAGCTACTTCGCTTTTTTTTGCTTTTTTTTTTTTTTTTTTAATTAGCTAATCGGTACTTTTGCATTTCCTTTTTTTGACATATTATACTATGCTCTATTAGATAGAAGACCATATATTGTAATCTTAAAAATGACTTACCAAAAGTGTTAAATTATTTTGCTTTAGTTGGTAGATAGTCCTTTGGGTGAGATAAAAGTTCTTCACATTCAGTTTTTTCGTATTATGTAGTTTTTTCACCATTGATTTACACCCACACACACCCACATAAATATGTGAAGTAATCAAGGGTGAAAAGCCCCCATTAAGCTGTTTTTCACAGTTGATTTACACACACCAACATGGATATGTGAAATCAATGGTGAGAAAACCCATAACATTGCCCTAGGAGGATACGAATATTTTATTTTTCAGTCGGTAATAATATATATATATATATAATTAAAAGCCCAAATACATATTTTATTATATTCAACTCGACTCAGCTGAACTCGACTCATACAGGTTTCGTAACATGCGACGAAACGGAGGCAGAGGACAACCACTACTCTCAAACGGTGACCTCCATCCTCGAAACCCACTCCACCCACCACCCTTCCAGCCATTCCACCCCTTTCCCTACCACCGCCGCCACAACCGCCTTCCTCCGGTGGCTGCCACCCGCCGTCGCTGTCGCCACCCTCTGCCGCCACAACCACCACGGCTCCTCCTCCCAACGTACCCTCAAATACATCCTCCTCACCGTCCCTCTCCTCCACAACCCCCCGACGCTGAACGACGAGCCCAAAGGCGACCACGTCCATGCAGAGCGCCGTCGCCGGGAAAAGCTTAACGAGCAGTTCGTGGTACTAAGGTCACTCCTCCCATTCACGACAAAGACCGACAAGGCCACCGTCTTGGCCAACGCCATCGATTATCTGAAGCAGCTGAAAAAAAGAGTACACGAGCTCGAATCCGAGAGGACGTCTAGGGTTTTCGGAGGCGGGCAACAACGAATGGCAACAAAATCGCGGGTGGAGGTTTCGATTATCGAGAGGGACGCGCTTGTGGAGATCGAGTGTCGGGAGAGAGAGGGTTTGTTGGTCGAGTTGATGCAGTCGCTCGATGGGGTTGGGGTGACGGTGACAGCTGTGCAGTCGTCGACCAGAGACGGGTTTTTCGCAACAGAATTGAGAGCTAAGGTATAACTATCTAGGCCCTATTGGATGTTGAAGTCCCTTTTCTTTTATTTTCTTTTTTTTTTTTTAAAAAAATATTACACTCTTCTTTATTCAATGAATTTATCTATAGCAATTGTTATATCACATCTAATTTAACTAGTATTAATTATTATATAATTTCAACTACTATAAATTATTATATCCCCAAAATATTTTGCAAAAACTCTCCAATATAATGATATATACTTTGTTTTCTTTTGTTCTTAATTTGTTAGCCTAACTTAGTTATTACTATGTCACTCTTTCTATATACAATATACTTTTACTAACACTTTAATAAAACCAATAAACATAAGTATTACATTTGATAAAATAAGTATTCGTTTTTTTATTAGTTTATTACTTATCAACATGACTAACTATTAGAGTACTTGATAATTTTTTTCCCTTTTATTTATTTATTTATTTATTTATTTATTTATTTTTTTCTGCAGGTGAAAGAGAACATGAACGGGAAGAGGGCAAGTATCATAGAAGTGAAGAGACTAATCAATCGCATTATAGCTAAATAAATAATTAAATATGGAATAAAACCTAAATTATTAATTAATTATAGACATTCTTAATTGGGTTTTAAATCTTTAGATAATCCTTGCAAGAATTATTCTCATAATGTGTGATTTAACAAATAACATTAATGATGCAAAATTATTGGTAAACATTTTATTTTATTTCATAATGTTTTAGTCTACAAAATATTTCCAAAATAATAATTCGGTAGAATTTCAAAAACAAATTATAGATGGGACTCTAATAATTATTATTTTTTTTATGGTGAAAATATATTATTTTCTATATATTCTTAAAACAACCCCTGCATTATTTAATTATTCGCTTGTTGATCATCATAAAATTCTCGAATCAGTAAGTCCACTCTTCAGGCAAAAATATGTCTGGCGAGATATAAATGCCATTCTCCTTCTTCTTGTTCTTTTCCAGCTTTTGCTCATCTTTTTTTGCAGCATTCTTGCCTTGTCCTGTAACAATACGACAATCGATCCGTCTAACGATTAGGCTGTCTGATATAGTAATTAGACCACGACAATATAACTAAACGAGATGCATTATATTACCTGATTGAGGCTTAATAGACTGCCCATTCTCATGATGAACGTTGAGGTTTAGGACTCGAACAACTCGTGTAGGGAGCAAAACTGGAGAGAAAGCTGGATAAAGAGAGAAAACAAGATAATAGATATATAGATTTGGATTAATTTAAATAATATAAATTTTATATTGAATTTCAATAATATAAATTTGGACAAAGAAAAAATGGATATATGAATTGATATCATTTATGTCATTTAATAGTGTCATACCTGGCCTCTTGTTAAATTGGCGGACAACGACATGGGTTTGGGGAATAAAAACTCCAGTTCCAGAAGATTTTGGGCCTGAGCCCAAAAATATTGCTTGCATCCGAGGCTCAGGAGAGGCCCAATTATTCTGATTCCTCATATGCTCAGTAGAGGCCCAACTAGTCTGACTCTGATTTCTCCTTTGTGGCCTTGGGCTATTTTTCCACTTGCCTTGAGACTGCAAGAAACAGACCATGAGACCAAGTGAGCAAATTGGTATCAAATTAAAAATTAAAAAATCACAATTAAAAATTAAAAAAATCAAATCAAATTAGTACCATTCTTGAGGAGGAGTTCACTTGAGCTGGCGGCGGTGGGATTTTCATCCCATGTGGACGTGTCTGCTGCACCGGTTGAAGCCCCTGCAAGAAAGACATGAAGACACGCATTGAAGACTTGTACATTAGTCCAAAGAGTACAAACAAGAGTGCAAGGGGACACAACGGTTACACCAACGAACATAATCGTCCCTCTCGTGCTTAAATTTTCACGTAAAGACCACGCATTCTAAGAAATTCTCGGTAAATTCGGCTGAAAGGGGCCCACATTCTCATCACAACTAATAGAAATATAAGTTGTACATTTTATGCTTTAGAGTATTGTACTTAAAGTCTTTTATTTTGTAGTTCCTTTTATATGTAAAAGTGTTATTAGCATTTGACACTTTCAGTTATTTTACCACATGTATATAAAGGGTTTGCTAACCTTAAAACATAGTGTAATTTTCATTCTCCCACTTTCAATAATCTAATCGCCGCTTTCTCTTTCTCTCTCTATTCTTTCTCTCTTGTTCTTCCTTTTCTTCTTGGTACCTTAGGTTGTAAAGGTTATAAACTTTACAACCTTGATACCAAGAAGACATTAATCTCCAGGAATGTTATTTTCTATGAAATAGTATTTCTTTTCAAATCTCTCTCAGAAACTAACTCTCCTGCTCATATGTTCCCACAACCTGACTCTTCTTTTCTCTTTGATAACAATACTGGTCCTACACCAAACTATACCCCACCTGTTGATAACACTCTTTCTACTTCACCTATCCATACTTCTTCTCAAACACCACTCACCTCTACCTCTCCTACTAATACTGTTACTATTTTTCATTCTCCTGCAAACACTACTTCAAATAACCCTTCTCCACACATATCTCATGTCATAAGAAGATCACAAAGAGTATCCAAAATCCCTGCTTATCTAGATGTTTACAAACATAACTTGCACTCTCAGAATGCCTCTTGTTGCATAAATACTGTTTCTAACATTCCTGGGACAACCCCTTATCCTATTTCTGATTTTCTATCTACTAGTCAACTATCTGATACTAATAGTTGTTTTACTGCAATGATTTCCGCTGTCTCTGAACCCAAAACTTATAAACAAGATGCTAAAGATCCCCTTTGGCAAGAGACTATGGCCAAAGAATTGAAAGCTTTAGAGCAAACAAACACATGAGTTCTCACTGATTTGCCAAAAGGAAAACATTGCATAGGCTGTAAATGGGTTTTCAAAGTTAAATATAAATTATATGGTAGCATAGAAAGATATAAGGCTAGGTTAGTTGCTAAGGGGTATACTCAAGAAGAAGGAATTGATTTTTTTTTATACTTTTTCTCCTGTAGCAAAAATAACAACTGTGAGATTTCTGGTTGCATTGGCATTTATTTATAACTGGCATATTCATCAATTGGATGTCAACAATGCATTCTTGCATGGTGATTTAAATGAAGAAGTTTACATGTCTATTCCTCCTGGCTACTGTTCTGATTCTGAAACAAGAGTGTGCAAATTAACCAAGAGTCTGTATGGCTTAAAGCAACCTCTAGACAATGGTTTCACAAACTTACCTCTTGTTTAATTTCCTATGGTTTTTGCCAATCTGTTGTTGACTGTTCATTGTTCTTTATGCATGAATCTGATGATTTCACTATTTTGCTTGTCTATGTTGATGACATCATACTTGCTGGCAATAATTTGTGCAAAATCAATGCTATAAGTCCCATTTGGATAAATGCTTTACTATCAAGGACTTAGGCAAACTTAAATATATTCATGGTCTTGAATTTGCACATTCTGACAAAGGGATTCACATGTGTCAAAGAAAATATGCATTGGATATATTAACTGATTGTGGTTTACTAGCTTGCAAGCCTTCTTCTACTCCAATGGATACTTCTTTAAAACTTAGCAAAAATGTCACTACACCTGTTCTTGAAAACCCTTCTGAATACAGAAGGCTTGTGGGTAAATTGAATTATTTGACCATAAATTCAATTTACAAAGATCGCACCAACTAACATAACGGTTCCTCTTGTGCTTCTATCCGTATTCTGATATCATATAAAAACCACTTGTTCTACAATTAATACTCTTAATAAATTCGATTGAATGGGGCCCACATTCATCCGCCCACAATTTTGTTGCAATAATGGTTGATCTAATAAACTTATAAGGTATACTCTGATCGATTGTCTATAACCTCTAAATTTGAATTTAATATCATGACATGGTTTTTAACGGTCGCACCAACTAACATAACGATTCCTGATGTGCTTTTGTTTTGACATCACATAATAGACCACATCATGATTTTTGATGTGCTTCTGTTTTGACATCACATAATAGACCACGTGTTCTATAGTTAATATCTCAGTAAATTAGGGTGAAAGGGGCTCACATTCTCATTCCGCCAATAATTTTGTTAAAACAATTACTGATCTCATAACTTAAAAGGTATACATCTTACTGACTGTCAATAACTTCTAAATTTGACTTTATTATCCTAATTTGGTTTTTAACAGTTGGACCAACTAACATAAACGATCTTTGTTGTGCTTCTATTTTGACATCATATGAAGACCACATGGTCCATATTTAATATTCTCAGTTAAATTCGCCCGAAAAAAGGGACACATTCTCATCCCGCCCACAATTTTATTACAACATTTAATGATCTAATAACTAATAAGGTATATGTCTGATCGACTATCTACATAACTTATAGATTTGACTTTATTATCTTAATCTGGCTTATTACTGATGAACCAACTAATATAACGATCTCTCTCATTCTTCTATATTTTGAGGTTACATAAAAACCACGTGTTTTACGATATCCTTTTAGTCAAAAGGACCCCACAATTTCTTCCATTAATGTGCATTGATGATCTAAATACTTTATAAGATATACATAATAGATCGACCATCTCTATTTTCTAAATTTGATTTTATTATCCTAAATTCGATGGATAACGGTCTCACCAACGAACATAACGGTCCCTCTCGTCATCTAATAATTTAACTTCACACATCAAATTTGTATATATAAACCTTAATCATGATTTTGATAAATTTGTATAAAATAAATATTCTCATAAAATGAAAAAAATAAAAAAATCACAATTACTGTTTTTTTTTTTTCTTTTTAAAATAAGTACCATCTTTGAAGAAGAGTTCATTTGAGTAGACGGCAGCGGAAGTTTCATCCCATGTGGACGTGGTTGCTGCACCCTGAACCCAGGAATCCCCTGCAAGAAAGACAAGACACGCATTAAAGGCTTGTACATTAATCCATCGAGTACAAACAAAGACTGCATAGGATGAAACTTGAAAGAGAGCCTCGTACCTTAGCCTGCTCGCGTCCATCACATCTATTCTGTGACATCGTACACCCGAAAATCGAATATCGGTTTTACCGATTTTATTTTTATTTATTGTTTTTTTTTTTAATTATTATTTTTTTTTTCATACGTCCAACTTTGAACCTACAACACAACCAATTTTATACTTACATGGAGGTGACCGAGTGGGTGGGGGTAATTAAGAGAATTATTATGTTAATTTAATTAAGGAGATATTATGGATTTTTAATTATTAATTATTAATTTAATTACGTTTGGCTAGCGATTTTTATGTCCACATTCGTAATTAAATAAATTTTTGACTGTAATTTTGGGTTAATTATTGCAATTTTTACATTTTTGGCGGGTTTTTGAAATTAGAATTATTAAATTTTTTTGTGATTTTTATTCAAATTACAATCTTTTTTTTTTTTCTTCTAATAATGAGAAGCGGAATTGGTCGTATCCTTTAAAGGGAATATTTTATTTTATTTTATTTTTTTATTTTTTACTTATTGTGATGGTGTAATCTCACTGATTGACTGCAAATTAAATCTTGAATTATAATAATTAATATATAAATTATCCATGCATGCAGTACAATATATATAATTTCGAATCACATTCACTATATATACCTTAGTCGAATTTTGAAACGGGCCATAAATCCAATGTTGACTACTGTAGTAATTTGAAAATAAATTAAATAAATATGAATTATTTGAAAGGATGACAAATTTATAAATATGACATTGTTTCTGATAATTAGGTGAATATATGGAGAGATTCTACGGTTCCGGAACCATTTCGTTAGAGTTTGTAACCGTTAATCAAATATCCACAACGATTACATGATGATCTAACGGTTATAAATCTCGACTGAATGATTCCATAACAGGACTGTAGCGAATATATAACATAGAGTTGTACATATCTAATCTAACTGATTATAAATAAGAGTTTGATAAATTAGTTTGTGCAATTGTTTTTTGAAATCTCATCATATTATTCTACGATAAGATTTTTCAAATTTATTAATATTTTTTACCAAATAAATTTAGTTAGCCAATTTGGCTTGTCCAGCTTTTAAATGAGATTCAATTCGGTCACCTACAATATAGTCATGTTTGTTTGTTTTTTTTTTTTTTTT